GGCTAATGAACAGGACCTAAGGAGAGAGGTGGGGAAGGGGAGGGGAGGATGTGGGATGGATCCAGAGTACAGGTGAGAGAGATTCACCAGGGGAAGAAAGAGGGATACCTCTTTCCTTGAGGCTGAAGAAAAAAGAAAACATGCGTGGGTGTCTACATATGTCAGGGTAAACCTGGTCATGCTGTGGTAACAGCCTCCAAAATCTTCATGGCTTACAATAAAGGTTTATTTCATACGCTACATGGCCAGGGCAAGTTGGCTCTGATTCGGTCCACATTTCAGGATTTAGGCATGTGGATCAGGCCCTCACTGGAATACTGCCATCTTTGGTGGCAGAAAGAAAAGAGAGAATGGCAAATCATGCATGAGTGCTCAAAGCTTCTGCTGGGAGGTGATGCACAACACATCACATCAGTTCACATTTCATGGCTAAAGCAACTCCCGTGATCATGCCTGAGTTCAATAGAACAGACACATAGGAGAGGAATGAGGAATATGGGTGAGCAATACAATAGAGAGGGGCTTTGAATATGGGCAAACAACGCAATCTATCACAAGGCCCATCCTGCTTTTGTTGGTGATAGAAGTTGCTCCTTCATTCATTCAATAAGTATTTATTAAGCACTCCTGCTTGCCTTAATCCCAGCCTCTAACGATCATTGATCTGCTTTCATTGTAGAACTTCTAGAATTTTAAAAATGAAATCATACAGTATGTAGCCTTTCATGTTTAACTTCTTCAAGGAAACTAATCTTATGTTGAGGCTATGAAAACAACTTACAGGTTAAAAAAGGCAAGGAAAGTAGTAAGGCTCACCAGTCTGAGCGCCCACCTACTTTGGCTTCATCCTAAATACCAATTCCCAGGAAAAATTGAGTCTTATGTGCTGGTTATATTTTTCTAGAACTCATTAAAATAATTATTAATGTTAAAAATGTTAATTTGAGCACATCTCAGATAAGCAAGCCTCACTTAGGAAAACACTTCATTAAAAGATCTTGACAACCTTTTATACTTCTAACACATTCTCTCAATCATTAATTTTGGCCATTGAGTCTTAAATAAAGTGGCCATTAGCAAAATGTATAAGTAATTATAACTCCCAAATCTCCACATATAGCATCATAACATGCAAGTCCACATTTACCTTATTTTTAAAGATAAATTCAAACCTTTTCCTTTTTGCTTTCTACCTTTATTTCCCATTTTATTTGGTTGGGATAAGAAAAATTTGTTTGGATATAAGGGAAACCAAAAACACAACTAATAAGGTGGGAAGATTGAGACTTGCCATGCAGCATACATAGATTGGGAAGACTTCCTGCAGAATATGAGATTTGAAGAACTGGAACTTTGCTAGCCAGGGCTTTGTACTCTAATGTAATTGGGAGAACTCTACAGGAAGAGTTCTATGGTTGTAACTCCCCCTTTCCTTAACTTCCTTTTCCCCCCTTATATGAATACTCCTCTATCTTGGCACATAGGCCAGAATGTGCATGTAGCTTGCTATGTCTGCTTGTACTGGGTTGCAACCCCTTTCTTTTTCCCAAATAAATCCTTTTTGGTGATGAAACACCTGGTTGATATTAATATTCAGTTGAAAACAGGAACATTTTGCAACGTAATGCCTGTAGACGACCCATGTAGGTGCAGTAATTCTTCCTACATGTGGATTACTGTATCCGTTTCCATTAAACCACTTTCTTTCCCAGTTACTCTGACACTTCCATACTTTTAGGGTAAGAGTCATCAGTTTTCTGTGTGTCTCTGTGATTGTGGAGGACCCAGCAGCCTGAGTTATTAAAGAGTGCTTCAGAGATGGTTAGCAGATAATCAGATCTATGAAAACCCTTTCTGTAGATGAGGCCTTTTCTTTAGCAAATTAGAACTCTAATGGAGGTTTGAATAAGAAAAAGGCCTAACCAATGAAAAAGTTCCTTTGTTATTGTTTGTCTTTGTGGTCATTGTTGCTGCTTGGTAAGGCTAGAGGACGTTTTGAAGGTTGATGGATAGGAACAGCGTCATGACTTGCAGCGTCATGTGGGTGAGCCCCACATCTATTTCTCCAGTGTTTTTTTACTGAGATGAAATCAGGTCAGGTTGGAATTCTGAGGCAACTTAGAAATACAAAAGCGTACCAAAGGCTGTCTGGAAGGGTATGTAGGAACAGGAATGGTGTAGTAACACCCACTTGGCTTGATCAAATGGACGTGTCCAGGCACTCTGTGGGATATAAACACCGAGCTGGATGCCCAATCCACCCTGCTTAGATTAATCCAGGGCTTTGAATAAAGGGGCGGGTCCATTTGAGTCTTTGTACTTGTCGGGTTTTGTCACGTTGTAAGGACCTATGAGAAACAGTTTCTCAGACTTTCTTACATGCTACTAGGTATGCTAGCTGTTATTCTTTTTAAAATGTTTTAATTGATTTCAGAGAGAGGAAGAGGGGGAGAGATAGAAACATCCATGAGAGAAAACATCAATCAGCTGCCTCCTGCACCTCCCCCCAACCCCCAGGATTGAGCTCCCAACCAGGAATCAAACTGTGACCTCCTAGTAGTTCATAGATCAATGCTTAACCAATGAGCCACACTGGCCAGGTTAAACTGTCTTTCAAGGAAGGCCATTTCAAAATGAAATCGTGACTTTGTATATGGTGATAATTTCATAGTTCTAGTTCTAAACCCCAATTAATTCAAAATTGGTCCTGCTTATGCACGTAGTTGCATATAGACCAGTGGTTCTCAACCTTCTGGCCCTTTAAATACAGTTCCTCATGTTGTGACCCAACCATAACATTATTTTCGTTGCTACTTCATAACTGTAATGTTGCTACTGTTATGAATCGTCATGTAAATATTTGATATGCAGGATGATCTTAGGCGACCCCTGTGAAAGGGTCGTTTGACCGCCAAAGGGGTCGAGACCCACAGGTTGAGAACCGCTGATATAGAGTGTGCCTAATTCTATCATAGACAAATGGTGATTTCTATTGGTAACATGACTACATTTTCCTCTGAAGATTGCTGTGAGGGTTTAAGTCACTAATATGTGAACAGGTCTATGACTGTCCCTACATTTAACATGTCAGTGAAATAACATTTTTACCTGTACTGATATTAAACTTTCTCACCTTAAAACTTCAAATTCAATTCAAATACTGCAAGATCGAAGTTTATTTTGCTTTTTTAAAACAAAAATGGTACCATAAACAAAGCCCACTTTGTAATTAGAATCCTTTCCCCCTTGTATAAGGCAGCATAGAAAAATGGTGAGTTATACAAACATGGATTCCAAGAAGCTAAGCAAAAATAATTTTTCACTTAAGTAGGCTATGAAAATTTTAAATGAATAAAGAAAAAAAGCACCAAACTGAAAGGGACAAAAAGGATCATTTTCCTTCTCTGAACTGCACTGCTTGAACTAAATTAACAAAATCTCCCAAAATAAAAATATTTAAGTAATTTATTTGCATGTTTTTAAAAGTACTTTTCCCCAGTAAATACCGGGTCAACAAAAACAAAAAAAACAACTGCTTCTTTGTTTTATTTTAAACCTTGTTGCTGAAAATAATTCTAAGTGTATCGGTATTATTTACTACTTTAGTGAGTGTCTAGCGATATCCCACCCCTTCTGTGAATTTAGTTCTAGTTCTAAACCCCGATGGAATCTACCTATGGAATCTACCTATAGATGGAGGCAAATGTCCAGAATCTGCAGGGACTCCAGAACACAGCTGGACCACAGTCACTTTTGACTGAAGAGGTCTCCGTTTCTTGTGATGAATCTCTCTCAAGTCACACTCCCCTTCTTCACCCATAAAATAAGACTTCCGCCAACTTGAAGGACAGTCTATAAAGTCCCTGTATCCCTTTCCATTAAACCACCTTCTTCCCAGCTACTTGTGTCTTGTAAAACCTAAACCTTAAAATAAAATTTAAAAAAAGCAGGAATTGACTGCGTGGACAAAGGGAATCGTAGTTTTACGCAAAAATGCAACCCCATATGAGCACTGAGCAAATGGATGGTTGCATCTGAAGTCATCCGACTGGTCACTTGGCGTCTTCATGTGGAGGTTTCCCAAGAGTTAACGATCGTAACCACGAGAAGTCAGTTTCGCACCGTCCAAGACTCGGCCCGTTGCCCTTTACTTCTAGGCAACATTTGTTTCAATTAAGTCGTGTCTCCTCATTATCTGTGAGGACGGAATTCATCCCCTGCCCTTCGGTGCAGGCGATTTTTTCCGGGAAAATGAAAACATCCCTCCAGGGATCAAATAGCTCAACCGTAGAGCCGGAGGAAGGCGGGGCCCACGTGTCCCATGAGAGGGCCCTCAGACCCGCTCCTCACCGCAGGCCTGCAGCTGCCAGAGCGAGGGTTCGGGGTCAGGAGAGGCCAGCGGGATGGCGGCCACAGGCTCGGTCCCCCCGCCACGCCGGGGACAACACAACGGGAGTAACCGCGGGACGGAGCAGGCAGTGGCGCGACTGCAGGACTCAGAACACGGGCCGGGACTGGGCACGACAGGAAGGGGTCCGCGAGGCTGGCGCACCGGGACTGCAGGAGCGGCGAGGCTACCCACGGCGCCCTCCGGTCCCGCCGGGAAACGAAACCCCGGGTCCCGGGCCCGGCGGCCCCACGGCCTCCGGCTGAACCGGGGTGGGCGTTCCCCAGCAGGGAGCGCGTGCCTCACGTCCTCCCCTCGGACTCGCCCCGAGAAACTGATAACGCACGCCCTGCCAAGCTTTGGGGCCGCTTTACACTCCCTTGGGGATGGGCTGGGCGAGCACCAAGTTGAGTCCGTCCGACTTCCGGGCTTG